AGTCCGGTTTTCCAATAAAAAAAATTAGCAGTTTTAGTAGCACCATGCAGCATTTTGCATGTGTCTTGGAGTGTCACCTGTTTGGGTTCAGGTTCTTTCTCATCCTATCTGGGAATTTGAATTTCTCCAACATTTCCTCTGCAACTTTTTCATCGTCATTGCTAAGATTTCATTCATATCTTCTGCCTGCACGTCTTCAAAGCCCTTACCTGGCACTCCTTGCCAGATATACAACTTTCTGAAACTGATTCTCTCTTGACGGTAAAACTGAAATTATTCACTATACAGTGGACCCCCAACATTCGATGGCATCGACATTCGATAAATCCGACATTCGATGCATTTTAACGCAAAAATTTTGCCTCGACATTCGATGGAAAACCCGACATTCGATACGATTTGTACGAGACGTGTCCATGTGTGGCCTGAACTGCCCCGTGTGTGCCAGTGTTTACAAGCCAGCCAGTGTGCGCGCATCTAAGGATACATTCGGCACATTCCATATTATCACTGTTTTTGGTGCTTGTTTCTGCAAAATAAGTCACCATGGGCCCCAAGAAAGCTTCTAGTGCTAACCCTGTGGTAAAAAGGGTTAGAATAGTATGGAAATTAAGAAAGATTTTGAAGGGTTTGGGGCTAACCTTGAGAAGCCTATGCCAGTTGTGGACTCCATTGTGCCTACTTCAAAAATTAAGGAAATGTGTGCACAGTGCATTGAACTGCAAACCTTTATGGATGAAAATCACCCTAACACAGCTATTGCAAGCCATGCTGGTGACTATTACAATGACAGTGTTGTGGCCCATTTTAGACAAATCGTAAAGGAACGGGAGGTACAGAGCTCTATGGACAGATTTGTTGTGCGACAGAGGTCCAGTGACTCTCAAGCTGGTCCTAGTGGCATTAAAAGAAGAAGGGAAGTAACCCCGGAAAAGGACTTGCTACCTCAAGTCCTAATGGAAGGGGATTCCCCTTCTAAACACTAACACCATCCACACTCCCCTCCTCCCATCCCATCAATCATCACCAGATCTTCATTAAAGGTAAGTGTCAATTATTCTATTGTTATTAATCTACTGTTATTGTTGTTATTGTAATTATTCTATTGCATTAAACTTAATATTTCATGTGGTAAATTTTTTTTTTTCAAACTTTTGGGTGTCTTGCACGGATTAATTTGATTTCCATTATTTCTTATGGGGAAAATTAATTCGACTTTCGATATTTTCGACATTCGATAGCTCTCAGGAACGGATTAGTATCGAATGTCGAGGGTCCACTGTACTAGGTCATAATTTTCTCCAGCCTGCACTGATTGTTGCTTGGGACACTTGATCCCATGCAACTTTTACTTTGGCTGTTGCATCTACAGTTACATTTATACCAGAACTTGGGCACTCTAATCACTCTGCATTGTCATTCATTGTTGTGAGGAGTTTCTGCATTCTTCCCCCTTTTTTTTAAGTTGCTCTTTGATGCAGTGATTGTATCAAAGATGTTATATCTGGTAATTAAATCATTCTTCATACATGTATTTAGGTCTCTAGACTGCGAGACTTGAGGATGGCAATGGAAATTGTCAAGAGTGAGGAGACCTTGAATGAAAGCTCTTTTGGAACATGTACATCTTGACTGAACAAAAAACTGTTTGAACCACTCAACAATAGGACCTTATTCATCCATGCTGCCTTGTCAGCTCCTAAATAACAGGCAAAGTCATTTTTTTTTTTACCTTTAAAGTGACAGGGGTTCTGGGAATGATAAGTAAGCATCAGTTTACACTTTAAATCATGTGAATAAGTGCACAGAAACAAGCTGAAACAGTTTTTTGCTGCCTTGAATCCAGGTTCACTTTTCTTCTGCTTGGTGATGCAAGTTCTAGATGACTTTTCTAAAATACGCCCGTCTCGTCAGCGAACACAAGTGTGTCTAATTTTAGTCAGTTGAAATTCACACAGGGATAATAGTTTGAATAAAATTTTGATAGTGACATAAAAAACTATAGATGCACATCATGAGTATCTACTTTACAATGGTGTTTTTCCATGTTTATATGATATAGTAGCTGAGGTATAAAATAAGAATAATAAATGAAGATTATTTCTTTGTAAAGGTTACAGTGTGTAATTACAGTTTTGGTTTGTTAAGTACAGAGAAAACCACTATCATGCCGGGGCATTTCAGGCAGACTAATCCTAACACATAATAACTACTTAAATCTAGGCAAGATATGAGTGGTTAACTTTTTAATAAATCTTTATTAAAAAGTTAATGTGAGGTACTCAAGGTGGAGGTTTATGTTGTGCTATACTGTACATAGTAAATGTGTACTGTTATCTTGTCTAGTTTTAAGTAGTTACTGTGTACTGGGATTAGTCTGCTCGAAATGCCCCGGCATGATAATGGCTTTCTTTGTACTTAGCAAGCCAAAATTGTAATTACACATTGTAACCTTTACAAAGAAATAAATCTTTAAGAATAATAATCTTGAAGTTGCACATAATAAAAACCAGTATTACAATTAATGGTTCAGATAGTAATATTTCATGGATTGGCAGATGTTTAATAGACTAAGTAGGAGAATGAATAGTATGAGCAGATCTCATGAATAATTTCCTTTGTCTTGGATTATCTCTGGTTGGTTGCTGTCACTTTATGAGATACTTTCATGGACTGTATACTATGCTTGCACTAGGAATTGGTGTATCCCATATTTATTTATGTAAAACACTGAACCAGCATTGGTCATTCAGTGCAAAGACTGATGGAGGCTTGATCCTCCATCCACATGAGGTGAGAAGACATACTACCTAACACTGTTATGCCCCATGTGGTTAGTTTTATATTTATTACAATGGAAAGCATTTGCTAGTTCTTTAGGTATTTGTTGAGTAAATGTAGATCATATTCATGGAAGCAGTGTCTTCTTCACTTGCTACCCCTCATGTAAATCTTTGTACAGTATAATAAAATTTTAGTATGGAGTGTTCAAGTTATTTATGAAGGTAGGCTTCAGGTGGAGGCTTGCAGCAGAAACCACAGTTGGTGTGTATTCTGTAAATGTATTAAAAAATCAAGTCATGTGTATAATAGAAATTTGTAATTTAGCAACAGTATAGTACAGTATTATTTACCAGTGACAGGAATCACTGACATAGCAATGCAAATTTAAGAACTGTACCAACTTTACTACAGTACTGGTCACTGGACCTTCATATTGCATTTCAATGTTCATTTCTGTCCTTTTATGTCTGATAATCTCATTTCCACCCTCTCTCAATGATTAAATTTAATATCAGTTAAATTTGAATTTTTGCAGCTTACACAGTAGCCAGACAATCAGATTTGACAGTTCTACAGAGCAGTACACTCTTGAATGATCCAGCTTAAACACAAAGAATAAGGCTTCGTTCGGATTAATCATTCTTCCCTAAGATGCAACCAACAATGGTTCAACTTTTGGGTATTTATTTACAGGTAGGTAACGGGAAAAGCACATACCTGGAAACTTGCCCACATGTCTTGCCCTTCCTAGGATTCAACCCAGGTTATTTTAATTATGAACCAAATTACAAAGATATTACTTTTGTATGGAGTGGAGGGCCTGTAGCAGGAAATAAAAATGAAAGGGTCTGCAGATATAGCTTTTTGAGCCTACGAATAAATCAAGTTGTGTGTAGCTTTTCTGGAAATGTCAGGCCTGAGACTGTGCTGGCTATCTGCTAAAATTTAACTACCATACACCTTTTTAAAACTGTAGATTTTTTAGCACCATAGACTATCGCAATACATTTTAACAGACTTTTAAGCACCATAAACTTTTTAATGCCAAAAAATTTTATACTATGATCAACTGTACATAAGGTTTTCTTAATACTGTAGATTTTTGCATTAAAACGTAGTACGATGGCTAATGGTGTCTGATATTTTATGTTCAGTACACTATAGTTTTGCTGGCACTTTATAACCCAGGAGATGAAGATGGTAGCATTGTAAAAGGCACATCCACTCTTTCAAAATATATTTATGATAGTTTATAAAACAGCAGAGCTCACTTAACATTTTATAATGAAAGATGAACACAATACCTGAAAAAATTAACAATATTATTCCCTAATGAAATTATGACATTATAGAAGTGCCATATGCATAAATTTAATTGTGTGTGTGCTGTATTGTGCAAGAAATGAACTGTCTAGCCTAACCCCATCACTTCCAAATTTTTAAACCAGAAAAACACACACATCACAAATAGCTGTTCAACTTGCATAATAATTGGAAGCAAAATGATACAATCTTCCTCATGACCTACTTATTACAGCAATACATGTATAATCCTTTTCAATTTTAGATGAAGGCTTTTCATGGAATGTCAGTATTAATCCAACAAAATAATTATGTATGGATACATGTTCTAGGAAATATGGTGTTATTCTCACAATCTGTTATTAAAACATTGACAGGAGACTGCCATTATAAAAAGATTATACATATTCAGTAGGAGTAATGTAATGTCTGAACTAGATGCTTGTCCAGAAATTACATTCTTATGAATTTGAACATTAATGTTATTAAAGCATTGTGCAAGGAAGTATGGCTGCATGAATTTTTGTCCTCTTGCTTTTGATGCAAAATTAAATTGTAGCAAAAGTTGATATGTGCAACAATTAAGTATCTTTATTTTGAAACATTTTAAACACTTCAAATTTCAAAATAATAATACTTAACTGTTACCCATGTGTTTAACTTATCTGCTATTATTTATTATTTTTTATTATCACACCGGCCGATTCCCACCAAGGCAGGGTGGCCCGAAAAAGAAAAACTTTCACCATCATTCACTCCATCACTGTCTTGCCAGAAGGGTGCTTTACACTACAGTTTTTAAACTGCAACATTAACACCCCTCCTTCAGAGTGCAGGCACTGTACTTCCCATCTCCAGGACTCAAGTCCGGCCTGCCGGTTTCCCTGAATCCCTTCATAAATGTTACTTTGCTCACACTCCAACAGCACGTCAAGTATTAAAAACCATTTGTCTCCATTCACTCCATCAAACACGCTCAAGCATGCCTGCTGGAAGTCCAAGCCCCTCGCACACAAAACCTCCTTTACCCCCTCCCTCCAACCCTTCCTAGGCCGACCCCCTCCCCCCGCCTTCCTTCCACTACAGACTGATACACTCTTGAAGTCATTCTGTTTCGCTCCATTCTCTTTTACATGTCCGAACCCCCTCAACAACCCTTCCTCAGCCCTCTGGACAACAGTTTTGGTAATCCCGCACCTCCTCCTAACTTCCAAACTACGAATTCTCTGCATTATATTCACACCACACATTGCCCTCAGACATGACATCTCCACTGCCTCCAGCCTTCTCCTCGCTGCAACATTCATCACCCACGCTTCACACCCATATAAGAGCGTTGGTAAAACTATACTCTCATACATTCCCCTCTTTGCCTCCAAGGACAAAGTTCTTTGTCTCCACAGACTCCTAAGTGCACCACTCACTCTTTTTCCCTCATCAATTCTATGATTCACCTCATCTTTCATAGACCCATCCGCTGACACGTCCACTCCCAAATATCTAAATACGTTCACCTCCTCCATACTCTCTCCCTCCAATCTGATATTCAATCTTTCATCACCTAATCTTTTTGTTATCCTCATAACCTTACTCTTTCCTGTATTCACCTTTAATTTTCTTCTTTTGCACACCCTACCAAATTCATCCACCAATCTCTGCAACTTCTCTTCAGAATTCCCAAGAGCACAGTGTAAATCAGCAAAGAGCAGCTGTGACAACTCCCACTTTGTGTGTGATTCTTTATCTTTTAAACTCCACGCCTCTTGCCAAGACCCTCGCATTACTTCTCTTACAACCCCATCTATAAATATATTAAACAACCACGGTGACATCACACATCCTTGTCTAAGGCCTACTTTTACGGGGAAAAAAATTTCCCTCTTTCCTACATACTCTAACTTGAGCCTCACTATCCTCGTAAAAACTCTTCACTGCTTTCAGTAACCTACCTCCTACACCATACACTTGCAACATCTGCCACATTGCCCCCTATCCACCCTGTCATACGCATTTTCCAAATCCATAAATGCCACAAAGACCTCTTAGCCTTATCTAAATACTGTTCACTTATATGTTTCACTGTAAACACCGGGTCCACACACCCCCTACCTTTCCTAAAGCCTCCTTGTTCATCTGCTATCCTATTCTCCGTCTTACTCTTAATTCTTTCAATTATAACTCTACCATACACTTTACCAGGTACACTCAACAGACTTATCCCTATAAATTTTTGCACTCTCTTTTATCCCCTTTGCCTTTATACAAAGGAACTATGCATGCTCTCTGCCAATCCTAGGTACCTTACCCTCTTCCATACATTTATTAAACAATTGCACCAACCACTCCAAAACTATATCCCCACCTGCTTTTAACATTTCTATCTTTATCCCATCAATCCCGGCTGCCTTACCCCCTTTCATTTTACCTACTGCCTCACGAACTTCCCCCACACTCACAACTGGCTCTTCCTCACTCCTACAAGATGTTATTCCTCCTTGCCCTATACACGAAATCACAGCTATTATATGCTATTATTATATTCACTGCAAAAGTTTTTCCAGATAAGCTTAATGATTTTTCACCATATCCCAGACTGTTTTATTTGCTTATAAATTTCAGTATTACTGCCACAAGAATAATATGTATTTAAATAACTGTAGCCACTTTAATTTTCAGCCCTTCACACACTGTGCAAGAATTAAAATTAGAAATAGAATGTCTTTGAATTAAAGCTTGAACAAATATTTAAGATGCTGTACCACAAGTTTTACTTAAAGACTAAAAGAATAAAGATTTTATTTCTTTGCAAAGGTTACAATGTGTAATAACAATTTTGATTTATTAGGTACAAAGAGAACCACTATCATGCTGGGGCATTTTGGGGTCTTATAAAATTTCAATGATACACCATTTGAGAGAGAGATTTAAGGAAATAAAGCCACATTGCCACTATCAGTAACAGGATTCACTTACCAAGCACTCTTGGTTTCTTGCCATCATCACTTCTGTGTAAACTACTGTAACGGTCCTCCTCTCAGTTTTCACTCCACTCTAATCACTTACTGCCCTGTTGGAAATCACACTGGCTGGGGTAAAAATGCAGTGATATGAAAATGTCACATTGAAAACAACAAAACAAATTATGCAGCAAGTCTAAACCTAACACCCACCATCATAAATAAATGTCATAACCAACACAGCAGAGTGGCAGGAGCCAAGTTTACACCATGCACCTGGCATGGAAGCTCACTAGTTTATGTATTAGTACTGCAGCATATTGTGTAAAGGAGGTGAATTGTTGTACAGGAGTCATTGATCCACTTATTTATGTAGTCACATGCATATTATGCACTTAAATACTCTAGTGTTTATATACTTAAAAATGCTGCAGAAATAGGTAAACTTACAGTATTTGATATGTACAGTAGTACATAATGGTCACACTAAAATAAATTTATTACCCATTTAATGTAAAGGTTTTACATGATACATTTTTAATACTTTATATGCACTAAAACTTTGTTCTATACAGTTCTATATGTACAAAGATTAACACATAATTATGAGAAAATAATTATTTTATTAATATCGATCTGCATTTATGAATGCATGTGGTACACTTATGTTCTTTAAGATAAAAGATTCGGGGTTACAAAGGACTCATTTGAAACACTGGGAACACAATGTACAGTGGACCCTCGACTAACGATATTATTTCATTTCAGACGTCTGTTCGGGTGCCGTTACCGACCGAATTTGTTCCCATAAGGAATATTGTGAAATGGATTAGCCCGTTTCAGACCCCAAAAAATTCATGTACAAAAGCACTTACAAAAATACACTTACATAACTGGTCGAGTTAGTCGAGGGTCCACTGTATTTGTAATTCATAGATATCCCCCAAGTCCTGTATTTGACCCAACAGACATAAAATATTGCTTCCATGCTGACTATACAGTATGTTGGAACTATAATGTAATTTTCAGTTATTCAGGAAAAGTATCTTTTGTCTACCAAGAGATTCCTGAAAGTATAAAGGTTCTTTGTTGTAATTAGTGATGAGTGTCAGAAAAGTGTAGTTAATGGCAATTGCCCAACAAGTTAGAAATGTGAAACACACTTAGCAGAGCTAACCTTTTATCATATTTTTGCCCTAAATAGGGCATTATCAGTCAAGTCTATGCAACTTAATAAAGTCCTATTAAAAGGCAGAATGTTGTCTAATAAAAAGGCTTGCTCGCTGCATGCTTCACATTCCTAGTTTCTGAAGTCTTTAATTAAAAACTCTAGCAATGATGAACTGTATATATGTACTGTAAAAACATAATTATTCTCATACTTTACAGTTAAACAGTCTGTTTATTACTGAACTACCTTCTACACACTATTTTGATTATGTTGGCATTTTGTATTAGAACTCAGATGTTATTAGAGTCTGGAATATTTTTTGATACAAACAATATTTTTTAGGTTAGAAAAGTTAATGTTCTGAAAATGTTTTGTGATTATTTTTACTGTACTTTCAGTATAGTGCACCACAACTTATTCCGTACCATTAAATTACTTTCTATTAGAATGACCATATTAAATAGTGAGAGCACAAATGTAATGGTGCTTTTTTCTACTAATTAATATAACATCTTTAATATAATGAAAGATTGGATATCAGGTTAGAGGGAGAGAGTATGAAGGAGGCGAATGTATTCAGATATTTAGGAGTGGATGTGTCAGCAAATGGGTCTATGAAAGATGAGGTGAATCATAGAATTGACGAGGGAAAAAAGGTGAGTGGTGCACTGAGGAGTCTGTGGAGACAAATGAGAGTATGGTTATACCAACGGTCTTATATGGGTGTGAAGCATGGGTGGTGAATGTTGCAACAAGGAGAAGGCTGGAGGCAGTGGAGATGCCATGTCTGAGGGCAATGTGTGGTGTGAATATAATGCAGAGAATTCGTAGTTTGGAAATTAGGAGGAGGTGCGGGATTACCAAAACTATTATCCATAGGGCTGAGAAGAGGTTGTTGAGGGGGATCAGACATGTAGAAAGGATGGAAAAAAATAGAAAGACTTAGTGTATAAATCTGTAGTGGAGGGAAGGCTGGGTAGAGATTGGCCTAGGAAAGGTTGGAGGGAGGGGGTAAAGGAGGTTTTGTGTGCGAGGGGCTTGGATTTCCAGCAAGCATACGTTAGTGTGTTAGATAAAAGCAAATGGAGACAAATGGCTTTTAGGACTTGACGCGCTGTTGAAGTTTACCTGGAGTTTTACCTGGAGAGAGTTTCGGGGAAGTGTGAGCAAGATAATATTTATGAAGGGATTCAGGGAAACTGGCAGGCCAGACTTGAGTCCTGGAGATGGGAAGTACAATGCCTGCACTCTGAAGGAGGGGTGTTAATGTTACAGTTTTATAACTGTAGTGTAAATGCACCTCTGGCAAGACAGTGATGGAGTGAATGATAGTGAAAGTTTTTCTTTTTCGGGCCACCCTACCTTGTTGGGAAACGGCCAATGTGTTACTAATAATAAAAAAATTTAATATAACATTACCATGCATTTTTCTTTTTACTACAGATGCCTATAATTTGCTATCATTAAATATCAATAACAAGTGGCACAGTGGGTGCTGTATATTTAACTGGTTCTTCAGTTAACAAAAATAAGCTCTCCCATTATAGAATTTGCTTGCCATGGTTTCGATTGAGTTTTGAGTCGCCATGTATGGCCTAGAAAAGTAACTATACTTAACATATCATTGATCTGGATTACTGTGACCATAATATTTCATGAATCTCTCCGCTTCTATTGATAGTTGTGTTGTATTATATGTAGGACACTACAGTATATAGTATTCTTGTATACTGTAGTGCCCTGCATTCTTACATACTGTAGGTCACTACATTATGTAATAACATGTGCAAGCTACATAATTCATATTGAATGATTTTGTA